CAACCTGTCTCTGACTGTGGACAAAACAAAAGAGATGATTGTTGACTTCAGGACAGCACGGAGAGATCACTGTCCACTGAACATCGATGGATCCTCTGCGGAGGTCGTCAAGAGCACCAGAGTCCTTGGTGTCCACCTGGTGGAGAACCTCTCCTGGTCCCTCAACACCAGCTCCATAACTAAGAAGGCCCAGCAGCGTCTCTACTTCCTGAGGAAGCTGAGGGAAGCCCATCTCCCTCCTGCCATTCTCACCACCTTCTGCAGAGCGACTATCGAGAGCGTCCTGAGCAGCTGCATCACTGTCTGAATGGTAACTGCACCGTATCGGATCACAATGCTCTACAACGGATAGTGAGCGCAGCTGAGAGGATCATTGGAGCCTCTCTTCCCTCCATCACAGACCCCTACCACACCTGCTCCATCTGCAGAGCCACCAGCATCGTGGAGGACGCCACACACACCGAGGAACAGCTGCTTCCCCCCCAGACTCCTGAGCACTCCGTGACTGACACAGTTACATCCTGCTCAGTCTTTTGCACATTTCTATTGCACTGTTGTTGTGTTTTTGCACACTTGCACTTCATGCAGTCCCATGCTGATTGTCTGCACCAGGGTGTTGGAGGAACTCTGTCTCAGTTCACTGTGTACTGAACCTCTGCACACGGTCAAAATTACAATAAAGCCACTTCACCTGACAGTAACACACCTGCAGCTCTTTACCTGAGGCAGGGGAGGAGCTGGCGTCCATTTTTATGTGACGCTCTGGTCTGTGCTGAAGTTTCTGATGTTCAGATGTTTCTGCTTCAGTGTTTGCAGCAGAGGTTACTGTGGCTGTCACTGTGCTCGTTGAGCTTTATTGATACGATTTGATAGAAATCAAGATTTAAAGTCAGTGTTTGTTTATTGGGTTAAATAAGAGTCAGCGATCAGACTGGAGGTTTCACATGTTAGCTTACTGTGTGCATGTTAGATACTCGGCACCACTGTTCCTCCATACCTGCTGCA